CTGTCTTCAGTTCCGTGAGGGTGAAGAGGGCGTCCTGTTCCGGGTGACAGCCGGCTTATGTTCTGGTGGGGCCTCGCAGAAAGGCCCTAAGGACGGGGGCTGGGTGCCCGGGGTGGGGGGGGCCGCTGGAATGTTCAGTCCTGCCCCCGACCTCGGGGGAAGCGAAGGGGGCTGGAGAAGGGTTCAATCACCAAAGGCCCATGGTGACAAGCCTGACATCGGTCAGGCTTGTGTAATGAAGCCTCCATTAAGGGGAGGGGTCCGGAGAGCTTCCGGCTGGCAGACATGGAGATTCAGGCACTGGGGGGCCCTCACGGCGTGTGGAGGCTCCGCGCCGCTGCCCCACACCTGGCCCTGTGTGCCTCTTCCACCAGGCGGCTCCTGATTGCATTCTTTTATACTTAACTGACCATCTAGTGATAGATCCCCAGAGGGAGGTGCGGGAGCCTCAAAAGCTCAGGCGATACCGTGGCTCTGAGGCTGGCAGCTGAAGGGGGGGGCCTTCTGGGAGTGAGTGACTCCAAGCAGACAGAGCAGGGTTTGCACGGAATCCGAGGAACCCCAGCTGGTGTCCGAGACCGACACATGCACGGGAATTTGATGATCTTGGCCCTTAGATGGACCAAGAAATGCCCCATCCCCTTCTAGCATGCTCTTCATTTCCTATGGTCCCTCATGGGTTTCAGCAGAGGAGGCGGGCTTTAGGGCAAGCAAGCCTCCGCCCGAGCCACTGCGCACGGGGCTCGTCCACGGGAGGGGAGGGCACGCGGGTTGCAGTCTGGGCTGTGCCTGCTTCTAGAAAGCAGCTCAAAAATCAACATAAAATAAATAAAGACAAAGCGGGGGGCTGGGTGGCTTCTGGGTGCCCCCTCCCAGACCCTCCGGGCCCTCTTCTCAACTCTTTCCTTCCCCACCTGGCTCCCTTGGTCCCCGGGGTCACCTAGGCCTGGCCTTTGGGCATCTCTCTGCCCAGAACCGTCCTTCTGGGGACCCAGGGTGAGAGCCGGGCCCCTCCGCCCACCAGAGCCTTCTATACCCCGTCCCCACCCACCCCTCCTCCTCCTCTTCCCGGCAGATGGGGTGGCAGAGGGTCAGTGCCCTTCACGCAGGTGATGAGGGGCTTCTGAGGGCCAAGGGCTTACTCACTAGGCCTTTTCACATGCGCTCCCCTTGCGCTTGACATTCCGGCCCCTCAGCAAGGCTCGCTGACCCCTCCTTTCAAATTACAGTCCCCTCCCACCTCCTGTCACCCTCCCCACATGCATCTCCAGGAGCATCTGATGGATGTCACTTGTTGACTCGGGGACAATAACCACGGAGGCCAAGGATTTATCAGTTCATCCGTGCTTTAGCCCATCCGTGTCCTCAACCCCTGGAAAGATGCCGGGCGCATAGTAGTTCCTGGCAAATACAGGTAGAACGAATGAATGAGTGAGCGAGTGCACACATGGCTGCTCTCCTGCCTCCTGCCCTCTTATGTGCAGCCCAAGGTCACCTCCAAGCTCACCTTGTCCTTCCCCGGTAGCCCAGGGTGGCGCACGGCTCTCTGAAAGAAGCCCCATCTCCCCAGCCAGGCCTGGAAAGCTCAGCACGCAAGCCGCCCTCACGGGATGCCCGCTCCTTGTCTGCCCACTGGGGCCCCTGGGCCAGCTCGCACGCTCCTGGGGCTTCCCCAGCACCGGGCCCTGGGGGGGTCCCAGCAGGGGTGAGTGAACAGGCACGTAAAATAGGAGAAGTATGTTCCCACACACGTATCAGAATGGCCAAAATCCAGAACACTGACAACACTAAATGTCGACAGGGACGTGGAACGGCAGAAGCCCTCCCGCAGCGGCTGGGAACGCGGGACGGTGCCGCCACTCTGGAAGACGGGCTGTGGCTTCTTGCAAAACTCGGCACGCCCTCACCATACGATCCGCCTTAGGATCCATCGGGCTCCTCGGGATTTACGCACAGGACCTGAAAACTCATGTCCACACAAAAACTTGCACACGACGCTTACAGCAGCTTTCTTCACAACTGCCTAAACCCGGAAGGAACTCAGATACCCTTGGGTAGGTGGATGGATACGTGTGGTCCCTCCGCACAAGGGAATACTGTCAGTACGAAAAAGAAATGAGCTATTAAGCCATGAAAAGACAGGGAGGACCCTTAAGTGGATCTTACCGAGCGAAAGAAGCCAACCTGGAAAGGCTATACGCTCTGGGACTCCAACAATTGGACACTCTGAGAAAGGGAGCCCTCCGGAGAGAGTGAAGAGATGAGTGGTTGCCAGGGGGTTGCGGGGGAGGGACGGGGAGGCCACAGAGACTTGGGGCCATGAAACTACTCTGTATGACCCCGTCCTGGTGGATACGTGTCCTTATACATTCGTCTAAACCCAAAGGATGTACAACATCAAGAATGAATCCTAATGTCAACCGTGGACTTCGGTCAATAACGACGTATCAGTACTGCTCCGGCAGGTGTAACAAACGTACCAGCTCGTGCAGCTCGGTAACAAAAGGGGCAACCGGTGGGGGGAGGAGGCACGTACTAGAACTTCTTGGTATTTTCGGTGCAGTTTTCCCGTCAACCTGAAATTGCTCTAAAAATTAGTGTCTATTAAAAGCAAAACAAAACAAAGTTATCAGAGCTTCAGGTTTAACTGAGAATCCTCCATTTTCCGTGGCAGCCCCACCCCGGGGAAGCCACGCTGTCAGTGAGGGGGTGGGTCTGACGACACCAGGGAGGGAGGAAGGGAGAAGGTGCACGCAGGGCCCCCAGGCCTGGCAGCCTCGGGGGGAGACCAGCCTCTGCGCCCAGAAATCCCAGAAATTGATGGGGAACAATCCCACTGGCAGATAACCGGAGAGATGGGGACTGATTGTGGAGGGGTCTGCACCACGGAGACCGCATCCCCGCCCCCACCCTCCTCGAGGACGCTTAGCTCCCCGCTCAGGTGTGATCCCGCTCCTTGGAGCAGCAGGTGCTCCCCCAACCCATCAGAGTCAGCTGACCGCCTTCCCCTATCAGCCACACGCACACCTGTGGGCCCGCCTTCTCGCCACATCTCTGAGAACACATCACACCCAACATCGTCTTGGGGTTCCAATACCACCAGAGTCGGGGCTGACCAGGAGTGTCCTGGCCCCCAGACCCCCATTCTCCATCGCTCTCCCTCCCGCCCAGCATGCCCTCTCCCCTCCGACTTCTTCCTACAGAGGGCCCGGAGCCCCGTCCTTCTCTGTGCCTCCCCAGCAGGCGGGACTGTCTCAGCTAATGTCCCTAGTGGCCACTCATCTTTGATACCTTCATCCTAGGGGAACCCACTTATGCCGGACATGCAGAGAAGGGGGGCACCCCAGCCGGTCTCCATGACCCAGGCCCTCCGCTCCTAAGCCCGGGACAGCCAGCAGGTCCAGCCCCACCCTGGGGGCCGGCTCCCCTGCTTCCTGGCCGTCCCTTCTCTCCCCGCAGAGTGCTGACACTCCTCTCTCGCCCTCCTGGCTCTGAGGAGCATTGCAGTTGCTGTTGGTACGAAGAGCAGAGGCCAGTCTGGTGGGGGAGAGGCAGCTAAAGGGACGGAAACCGGGGAAGAGTGGGGGCTGGGGGCTGGGGGAGGGAGGCTGCGGCCCGGTACCCCTCCCCATAGGTCTGCATGCTGTTGGCGGGGAGGGTCCTGGATGCGCCCTACGGAGTAGGGGATCCCCTGGGTGAGGGCTGTGTGGGAAGGGGTCACAGGAGGTGGGGAGCACAGCCTGGTGATGGCCAGAAGGGCTGGGAGGGGCCTTGGAGCTCGAGATCCGGGAGGGGACGCAGCCACCACAGCCAGCTGCAGAAGGGGCCTTAGACAAGGGCCACCCGCCTTTGCCCCACCTCCGAACGTAGCTGGGCACCAGGGCACAGCATGCGGGTTAGTGGGGTGCAGAGGGGTGTGGAGGGGGTGACGTGCGGGACTAAGGGCTTGCCGCAGGTCATGGGTAGGGGAGGAGGAGACTGGGGCAAGACGCCCTCTGGGCACCCGGAGGGTGTGCAGGACTTGAGAGGGACCCAGGGACGTGAGGGATCCTGGGCTCTTACCGGGTGTGCAGGACAGGGAGTTCAGGCCGAGTAGGGTCCAGGTGAGTGGGTCAAGAACAGTGGGGGTGGCAGAGCAGTGAGGTAGGGACGTGGGTCGGGGATGGTGACGCAGGAAGGTGGGGCAGACTGAGCCAGGCGCGGTAAGTGCTGCAGGTGCGGCGGGTGGCACAGTGAGGGCCGTGGGCGAGCCAGTGCGGAGGGCGCGCGAGGGGCAGGACAGTGGGCGTGGTGAGACAGTGGGCGGGGCGACGGGGCAGGTGAACGGGGCAGGGTGACAGGTGTCCGGGCCGGGTCCAGGCAGTGAGAGGGGAGGTGGGCGGGGCGAGCCGCTGGGCGGGGCGATTGTGTAGGGGAACGAGGCGGGGCGGGAACAGGTGCGCAGAGGTGGGCGGGACCGTGGGCGGGGCGAGCCCCGTGGGCGGGGCGCCGGGGCAGGTGGACGGGGCGGGGCGGGGGCGGGGCGGGGGGCGGGGCGCCGCGCGCCCTCCCGGAAGCCAGGGGGCGCTGTGGCGGGTCCACGCGGGCCGTGCGTGCTCCTCCTTCCGCCCGCGGCCCGGAAGCCGGCGATGGCGCGGAATGTGCTGTGAGCGGCCGGGGGCCGGGGGCCGGGGGCCGGGGACTCGGGCCTGGGGGGGGGAGGGGGGGTGCAGGGCACGGGGCTGCAGCCGCAGTGCGGACCACGGGCGCCTGCCCGGAAGGGTCCCTCTGCCCTCGTCGCCGGGACGGGGGGCTCCCGCGGCCCGCCCCCACGCTAGAGGCTGATGCGCCCGTGTCCCCTGCGAGCGTGGCCGCCCCGGGAATGAACGGGTGGAGGCGCGCACTCGCGCACGGCGGCAGGTGCAGCGGGGCCGAGGGGCCGGCGCGGCCGTGGGGAGCAGGCAGGGCAGCCGGCCGCGCCGCGGGTCGGGAGGAGAGCCGGTGGGACCTGCGGGGAGGGTGGGGTCACGCGTGAGTCACGCTCGGGGCCACAGGGAGGTAGGCCTGGTGGCAGCGAGCCAGAGCGCTGTGCTGAGCAGGCGGGACCCACTGCAGACGTGCCTGTGAAATCCGCGGGAGGGCCGGGCAGGGGGCGGGGCGCGCGCGCAGGGGTGCTGCCTCCGCCCACCAGGCCTGGAGAGCCCGGTTCTGAAGCCCCGAAGGAGGGTGCGAGGCAGTGCTGCTTGTTCCTCAGCTGGAAGGTTCCAGCTTCGGGCAGGCCCTTGGGACTCATCCTGACACTCAGCGTGGGGGAGGACAGGGGGCTTCTGAGGCCATGCACGCGGCGGGGAGACTCGGTGCCCGGCTCAGGCCGCTGACCTCCGACCCTCACAGTGGGCCTCCCTCCACCCCCAAACCCAGGGACCCGGAGAGATGGAGGGTCAATTTCCAGGTACCCAGAGGGCCTGGCTTTGCCCCCTGCAGTGCCGCCGCTGGTCACCAGGGGGAATAAGTGAGTCCCTTGGGTGACCAGCCATTGGCCCAGACTCCAGTGGAGGGTAAAACAAGGCAGGCCTCTTGTTCCTGGGGGCCCCGCACCCCCCAGAGCCTGCCCTCACCCACTCTCGCCAGTGCCCGCCCTGCAGTGGAGACCCCCACAGGAGGTCCTTCTGGGCCCCTGCCACATGCTGACGTGGTCGCCGACATCCCTCAGCCCTTCAGCCCAGCAGGCCAGGGTGCTGCAGGTGCCCAAGGCCTGCCCTCTGAGAGCCCCTGCACTGTCCAGACTCCCCAGGTTGCTGCTTAACTCTGGGGCTCCCCAAGGCCCTTCAGCGCCCTGGCTCTTGTCATCCTGCCCAGTACAGAATTGGCCTCGACAAGCCCCCTTTCACAGTACAGTTTGTGCCCCAAGATCAGACCATGTGCAGTGCTGCAGCTTGGTCACAGAGGTACTGGGGAGACCCTTGATGGCACCCCATGTCCCACCCCCCCGTGTGCCCACCCTCCGCAGAGCCTGGCCCCTGGCCTCAGACGACCGCAGACGACCTCAGGCCCCCTCCTCACCTGGCTCCGCTGCCGCATGCAAACCCAGAGCACGCGCAGTTGGCCATGGCAGTGGGCCGGGGCTGTGGGTAGTAGCATCTCCTTTCCAGCTGCACCTCCTGGCTTTGAGGGTCCTCAGGGTGGGGAGTGTGATGCTTTCCCAGCCACACAGTGTGCAGGTGCCTGCGTCCCTGCCGCGGGGAATGCCAGGGTTCGGGGGGAGCGGTGCCACGCTGGGCCGTGTGCTGGTGGGACCATCACCTTGAACAAGCCTGTCTGCAAGCCCGGCCACCAGCGTGTTTGGTGGTCCGCGATGGGCGTGCTCTCTACTGTCCTGTTCCTTGAGTCACCCATAGGCCCTTTCCAGCCGCTGGCCCCGAGGGTCCATGGCCCATACTACTGTAAGTTGATGGGTACCAAGGATCTCAGGGCCCACACTCAGCAGAACCATGCCGTGTACAAAGGGGGCCGTGGGGTGCTGGCCTGCGGAGAGCTGTTCCCCTTGCTTCCCGTTCCTCTTGCTGTGGGTGAACAAGTAGAGGGGGTGCACCGGGGCAGCCCGGGGGCCACGCATTCTGGTTTGACGCCAACAAATCTCTCCCTCTCAGGTACCCTCTGTACCAGCTGGGCAACCCCCAGCTCCGCGTCTTCCGAACAAACTTCTTCATTTGGCTGGTGCGGCCTGGCACGGCTCAGCCTGAGGACACCGTGCAGTTCCGGATCCCCATGGAGTAAGCCCCCGAGTTCAGGCTGGGGAGCACCCCAAGGGGTTGGCCGTCCTGCCGGCGTCCTGGAGCCCGGCTCATACATGTGGCTTCTGCTGTGAAAACATCCCAGGCGGCTCTCTCCAAGCCTCCCTGCAAATGTGGTCCAGGGCCTGATGTTTGCAGAGCCTCCCTGCTATTTGCAGAGCCTTGGGCGAGGCTGGGCTGCCCCCCACTCCCCGCCCCCCCGCCCCCAGGAAAGCCTGGTTGAAGACCTGACACTTCTCTAATTTAACTACACTGAACTCAGTGCCCTTCCCAGGCGGCGGGGCTCACACTCTTGAGCTCCTTACCATGGCTTCCAGAAACCTGGTTCTCAAGGTGGTTCCTACACAGAGGTCCTGGCCGCTGAAGGGACACAGTGTCCTCTCACCCAGGCTGCAGGGCACTCTGGAGCCTCAGGATGTGACTGTCCCAGTGCCTGGGCTGGCCTGAGCATCAGCTTTCAGAGGGCAAGAGTGGCCAAGGACGAGGTTTATGATGCCATGTCAGGTGCAGAGGGTTGGGGGCCTCACCCACCAACGCCTTGGCCACTGTTTCCAGGAAAGGACCTTGTCATCGAGCAGCAGCTCCACACAGGCCTGGCCATGGTGGGCCGGCCTCCTGGCAGCCGGGGGGCACCCCCATATGGGCCCTTCCCTCAGGAGAGCTCTGACTGAGAGCCTGGCCCCTAGAGGGCGCGAGCCAGCCAGGGGCGGCTGCAGAGACCCCACGGCCCCGCACTGACATCGCCTGTGGCTCAGGCCCCACCAGCCAGCTGCTGTGCATCTCGGTTGAGTCTTGCTCTTCTTTCTTCTCTGCCCAGGATGACGCGGGTGGACCTCCGGAACTACCTCGAGCGCATCTACAACGTGCCCGTGGCCGCTGTGCGGACGAGGGTGCAGCACGGTGCGTGCCGGGGGCGGGGAGACTCCCCGGAGCTCATGAGGCCTCATCCCTGCTGCTGCGGGGGCCAGCCTCCTGGCCTGTGAGGGAACTGAGGCAGCTTCCCCAGCCCTCGCTGCGCACGGGGCAGAGCGGGGACTGGACCCGGGTGGCTGGTCTGCTCCTGCCCCTCCCCCCAGCCCACGCGGTGCAGCCCCCTTCTCCATGCGCCTCGGAAGCCGGTCAGCAAAGTGCTTTTTTCCTTTGTTCCCTTAACCTCTGTCCCCCCACCCGACAGCCTTCTGCGTGGCGGGAGGCAGCCCACGAGGGTCGCAGTGCTGACAGACGGGGAAGATGGGTTTCTTGTCTTATTCACACACGCTTGTGTTTTTAACAGCAGAGGTTGGGGTGCAAGCCACCGCGAGTGTAATTGGTCACATTTCAGGCGTGACGAGCTGTGACCTGTGGGAGACCAGCCGACTCTCCCGTGTTGGCCTCTTTCTAGAAAGTGGGCTCCTGGATTAGCTGGACTGGAAATCTCGTGCTTGGAGTAAAGTGTTCCCCCTACCCCCCGGCAGGTTCCAACAGGAAGAGGGATTACAGAAACGTCAGGATGAAGAAACCAGACTACAAGGTGGCCTATGTGCAGCTGGTGAGTGGGCTTCGGGCAGAGTCCCAAGTCATGGGCGTGACTTATCACGACCGTGACCTTGGTGCGGGGGACGTGTTTGTGCAGCAGCCCCCGCCTGGGGCCCTGAGAGGCCCTGAGAGGCAGGATTTTCAGGGCCACGGCGCGGGGCAGAGCCTGTGCTTCATTCTAATCCCCGGCGGAGCCCCGGGCTGAGCTGGGGTTCCGAGCACACTCAGCTGACGGGCGGGGACTGTGTGGGGCAGCCGTATCGTGGACCTGCTCAGGGGCCAGCCGTGTCGTGCCCTCGGACTTGGTGCTGTGGGCACAGGCAGGCCCCCTCAGGCCCAGGGGTTTCGGGCTCAGACAGAAACCAGAGTTCTCCAGAGCTTCCTGCTGGAGGATGGCCTGGCCTTGGACAGGCCCAGGCCCGGAGGCAGTTAATGCCCTGGGGCAGCAGCTCTGCAGATGGGTTCGCTGCACCCCAGGGCCCTGGCTGAGCCCCCTCCCCTCTGGACTGGGTTGTGGGGCACCCGTATTCTCTCCCCTCCCCCCCCCCCATACTCTGGACCGTGTGCTACCTGGCCAGGGGCTCAGGAAGAGGGTCCTGGCCCCTGGCGGAGCTCTGGCCGACTGCAGTGCAGAGCTGTGGCGAATGAGACGTGGCTTCGGAGCCCCTCCGGCCCTTCCCTCCAGTGTGAGGTGACCCCCCTCGAGCTTCCTCAGACGAGCCCTCCAGGCTCCCCAGGGCCGTGGCCTCCAGCAGGGTGTCCCCTTGGCCTCCATGAGGACCTGCCCGCAACGGCCCTCCTCGCAGGGTCCATTAGCTGCCCCCACCCCCCACCGTTGGAAACACGCGGACTGGGGCCGGGGCAGGGGCTTCCTCCAGCCTCCAGAGCTGGCGGCGGGAGGCGGCTGGCCGTGGCCGCTAGATGGCAGTAGCGCTATTGTAAACCCCGTGGGCCCGCGGACCTATTTTGGGCGGTAGGAGGCCGTTTGTTACATGACCGAGTTAGCATGGCAGCTTCTCTGACTACAGTTGTTGTTCTAAACAGGGGCCCCCATAACGATGTGGCCTAATATTTGCTGTGCATGAAATCAGCCAATCCAGGTGGAGAGCGCGGCCGTTGGTCTTATAAAGGCGCCTGTGTCCTGCGTGTGAAATCGGGCCATCTGTCCCTGTCATGGCGCGGGCTGACACCCGTGTGCCGGCATTCGCCACCAGGGCTCCAGCTACGGTTACAAGTGGCTTCTGAGTCACCGGAGCCCCCGCATTCTTCCCCGGGCCCCACCTCGCTCGTGAAAGCTGAGCGGAGCCCGCCTAGGTCGGGTGCTCGCAGCTGCCGCCCGGCATGCCTTTCTTCTCTGTGAAATCGGGCAGCACAACTGGGGACAGAGTTCCTGCCGCCCAGGGTGGCATTTGTGATGGACCCCGCCCCCCCCCCCTCCCAGCCTGGAAACCAGCAGGAAGCTCGGGGCCTTTCCCCTCTGAAGGGGTCCCTTCTCTGTCCCCCCCTGTGCGGAGACCGACCTCTCCCAGTGTGTCCCTGTGGGCCCCACTCTGGGGCTTTTAAAAACAGAGCTAATTGTAAAGCACACGAGGGTCAATCACGAACACAAATTAAGTTTCCGAATCTATTTTGAGTTGACGGCTGCGGAAAAGGCCGTCCGGCGGGGTGGGGGCCCCACATTTCCCCCGATGACCTGATAAACATCTCTGTGGCCCTGTGGCCCACGCATCCAGAGGAACGTCACCCTGCACGCAGAAGTCTGCCCTTCCCACCGCCGGCGCTAGCCGGCAGGAGCCTGTGGGGAACGGTCGGTGGCCTGGTGGGGGAGGCGCTTGGGGTCACCTCACCGGGGCCGGTTCCTGCACCGTCCTTGCCACAGTGTCCCGTCCAGGTCCCGTCCACTGAGCCGCTCATGCTCTCCCCCCTGCGGGGACTGGGGGTTTGCTTGTGAAAGTACAAGGCAGATTTCCCGAGAGAGGGGCGCCCTGGGGGGCACATGCGGCACCCACAAGCGGCCCTTGTCTCGGGTAAGAAAGGAAGAATCTCTCGCAGTGGCTCCCTCCGTTTTTTTCCTGAGCTGTTGCAAATTGCCATCTTTGTATTTATATTTTAAAATGTCATTTTGGGTTTTCCCCCACCTCAGAAAACTAGCAAAATCACCTCGATATATTACACATAAATCCCCGTTCTGGGCAATCAGCCCTGCATGTAAACTATTGCCCTTTGGTATTTTAAAAAAGAAAAAAAAAGCAGTTTTGAGCTGTGTAAGCTAATCCTGCAGCAGGCTGGCCGCCGCGCGCACACAGCCTGCTTTCTTACGGGGCCCGCGCCCCGCGCCATGTGACCAGAATTTATAAACCTCCTCTTCCCGGGGTGGGGGTGGGCTGTTTCAGATCATACTTGGCCGCCTGCCCAAAGCCAAATTTCTTTACAAAACAAGGGTCTCCAAGAACCAGCACACTTTACTGATTTTACTTATTAAAATTTTCCAGATACGGATGCCGCTCTGCGTCCCCCTTTGCCCGTCCGGAAGCAAACGGCGCTGCCCTGGCGCGCCCCCTCACGTGCCCCCTCGCGCACCCCCTTGTGCCCCCCGATCTGTGGAGCTGCTCCGGGGTGTTTAGCAGATTGAAACGGCACCTCACAGTTGCCCAGGTCCCCGGGGAGCGGGCAGGGCGCCCGCCTCGGCACCAGCGGGGCCCGGCCGGTGCCCCCTGTACACGTGCTTGGGGGTCTGGGTTGGGGCTTGGCCGACACTGGCACATTCTGAACTTCTAGTGAAAGACGTAAAACCAGTTAATTTGCAAAGCCGGTCTTGATTTATAGACTGCTGCATATGTACATTTCTTTGTACGTTATATGCATCTTATTTGCCAAGCTCCGAGCTGGGAGGAGGGGTAGTCTTTAATGTGGGTAAAGGCCTTTAGGTATTTTGGATGGAAAAAGTCTCAGTGTGGCACCAGACGCTATTTGTGCGGGGTGTTCCTGCCCCTCGCTCCTGCCCCCCAGTCCGGCCAGGCTGCCCCCACACCGGTGAATGGGCGCTTTGCTGGGCTGCTTTTAATGAGGCTCCAGCCAGTGCAGACAGCAGCCCTCGAAGAGATAATGTCGATGAAAAGGGGCATTGTCCGGGGTAATGGCTTCCCGCTGTTAGATAAAAGCCAGCAGCCGCCGAGATGTTTATTTTCCAGGCAGGGACATCGCCCCGGAGATGCCGGCCTCTGGGCCCCTCCAGAGCTGCGAGCTCAGGGTGGGAGGGCCCTGTGTACCTGTCCCCGCACGGTGCGGCAGCGGCTCTGGGCTGCAGGGCTTGCCTTTTCTCTGCAGGCGCACGGACAGACCTTCACGTTCCCTGATCTGTTTCCCGAGAAGCAGCAGGGTCCTGACGGCAGCCCTGGTGACGAGGACCTCCGGGACAGGCTCCTGGAGGAGCAGCGGAGGAGGCAGAGCCGGGACCCGCGCCGCGGCGGCGTCCCTGACTGGTTCGGCCTGTGACCCCAATAAAGTCCTGTGTGTGGAGCGAAGACCACCGGCTCTGTTCCTCTGTCCCCAGTGTCCCCACGCGGGGCTGCACCCACGACACATGGGCGCCCGGCTGCACAGACACAGCAGGGCCTGGGTGATGGTGGGGAGCCCACCCGCTGAGGGTCCCAGGCGTGCCCCCCGTGGACCGTCGGCATGAGCCTGTCTGTACGTGGGCTTCAGGCACACCGGTTGGGCCTGGGGATTTGGGAGCAAGCCAGAGATCACCGGGGGGCCACATCTCCCCCCAGAGCCCCGTCCTTGAGCGCTGCCCTGCCGCGCTTCCCTCTTCTGGGGCCTCACAAGGGCGGGTGGAAGTGGGGGCTGGCTCAGCAGCCCCCTCTGCCCAGAGGGACACCCAGAGAGGGGACGGCTGCGTCACGTGGGCCTCTCAGCCCCTCCACTTGCAGGGTGAAGGTCCGGGCAAACGCCGTCCTTCAGCGCTGATTTAAAGTGATGGGGAAGGTCCGGAAGGCGGCCGGAGAGCAGAGTCAAAGATATTCTCCTTAGAGAAATAATTCATGGGGCCCCGCGGCCCTGAGAACCCCAACTCAAGGCTGGGAGAGGAATCCCATCCTTCATCCAAGCAGGTCCAGCGCCGACGCAGCGCCCCCCCCTTAACTGCCCTGCTCTGCAGCCTCGCCAGCACCCCAGTGCTCCCCGCCCCCCGGAGGCCCGGGAGTCTCTGCAGGGAGGAGGAAGGGGCTGGAGAGCAGCCGTGTCCTTGGTCTCCCCGGCACCCCTGGCCGCACTCTGCTCCCTGCTGGGCCCCACTGACGGCCCCTGGGAATGAGGTAGGGGGAAGGCTGCACAGACAGGGTCTGGGGGCGCGGTGAGGGCAACGGGGTTGTCAGCAGGTCCTCAGGAATCCAGGAAGTGGGCCTGCGGGGAGGGGGGGGCTGCTCCGCCCCGCCCCCAGGCCCAGGCTTGAGGGGCTGACTGGACACCCCTTCTCTGGGCGACTCGGGGCTGGGGGCTGGGGAGGGAGAGCCCTTGTGAGGTCGTGTCTGCCCCCAAGACAGCCGCCCCACGGCCGTCTTCCGGTAACTCAGTGTCCCCTTGTCCTGCGCGGCTGGGAGACGAGGTCCAGATTTCCACATGGGGACTCGAGGAGGGCCTCCCGCACGGGGAACGAGCACCAGTGGGCCCCCCCCCCCCCGGCTGGACACCGAGCGTGGGGCTGGGCAGAGGACCTGGGTGTCCCTGTCTGGACGGTCCTGGGAGCACCCAGGGCACCAGCCTGGGGAGGAAGTAAATGGACAGAGGGAGCGAGCAACACCCCCAGGGTCCCCCCTCAAGTCCCCGTTCTCCTGTGATGTCCGTTTGTCGCCATGTGGGAGGTCTGTTTACTTGGCGAGAGAGAATGAGAGATCCCGGTGACGCCAGGTTACAGCAGACCCAGGCCTCCGGGGAAGGACTGAGGGGGCCGGGAAGGGCCCCTGGGACCTCGGTGGGCTCTGCTCTGTCCCCACAACACCCCCCCACGCCTGTGCTGATGACGCATCCCAGACGCCCCCAGCAGTTCAGGTGAGGCCCAGCCGCCCAGGGCCGCCGAGATAGAGCGGAAACCCATCTGGCCACAGTCTCTGCCTCCGCGGCTGGTTTTCCTCTTCGAGGGCCAGCAGAGCCCTCCCTGGGGCCGTGTCACCGAGACACGGCTTAAGGAACTGACTGCAGATGACAGCACGGGCCCCCACCCCACCCACCTGCCCGGCTGGACCCTGGTGCAGAGAAGATGCCCACACAGCCCTTCTGCAGCCTGGAGCCCCATGTGATGTGGGCTGCCTGCTTCCTGGCCTCTGCGCCCAGCCCCTCCTGGGGAGCCTCCAGCCCCTAGCAGGGGACCCAGGCCCAGGGACACAGTGCTTCCTCTGGTCCCCCCACCCCCACCCCAGGCCTCCTGGAAGGTTCCTCTGCAGTGACTGTGGTCTCGGTGCTCCCCTCCCACCTCCTGGCTTTCCTGTGACCCTAAATGCTGCTAGGCTGTGCGTGCAGATGCAGGTGCACAACTGGGGAACCCCCAAACCCAGTGAGTCCCCTGAGCCAGACGTGACAGCCCTGTGTCCCGCCCGGAGCTCAGAGCTGGCCCAGGCCTGGGTGGGTCCCGGGGATTGAGGTGTGGGTGCTGAGCTGCCTGCCCTGGGTCACTGCTCTCGCTGACCCGGAGCCTCCCCCAACCCCCCCACCCCACCCCCCGCCCGGCTCGCAGGGCTGGGCAAGCAGAGCCTCACGTCCTGTGTCTTCAGACAGCTTTATTGGGACATAGTTAACATACCCCACGACCCGCCCATCGCGAGCCCATGGGGGGTCCCCAGTGCGGAGCTGTGTACCCATCACCGTGACTGGTTTTAAATCATTTCTGTGCCACCGCCCCGCCGACCACAAGTCCGCTCTCGGTGTCCGCGGGGCTGCCTGGTGGGGTGCGTGGCAGGAGGGAGCGCTGTGACACTCGGGTGGGGGCTCCCGCGGAAGGCTGGGTGCTGCTCCGCGGTGCGTGCGCCGCGCTTCCACCCGACCCCCGGGCCGCTCCCACCTGTGCGCCCACGGATTTGTGTGCCTATTTGCGTTGCTCTGGGCAGGACTGGGTACTTTTCCTGGGGTGTTTCTCTGCCCTGGAAGGTCCAGCGTCCACACTGCTGAGGCCTGGACGGGGCGAGTGTCCGGAAGAGGGGCTCCCGCGGACCAGCACTGGGAGGGGGTCTCAGCCTGGACCCCAGCCCGTGGCCTTCCTCCCCCCCACTCCTCCCCGCCCTCACCCCCAGGAATCCTTCTGCCCAGGTGTGGCGGCCGCCCCGTGTGGGCTGCTCCCCACACACCCGAGGGCCCCAGGCCGAGCCCCACTCCCTCGCCTGCGCCTGCGTGCGTGCGTGTGCCTGTCCCACCTTTGCAACTGACTGTGTCCCTTCGGGGCAGAGAGCGAACCCTCCCCTGCACGGCTCCCCGCTGCGCCTGGGCCCCCTCCATGGCAGCCCCGCCGCCGCTGCCCGTGGGGACCCCAGGACTGCTCCCCGCATGGGCCTGGGGGAGACCCGTTCAGCATCTGCGTTTACTCCTTCCCAGCTGAGGTCACCCCTGCACCAACACCCCAGATCACTTCATTATTTCTCGGTAAATAGGGCTTTTCCGAGTCAGAATCCTCAGCATTGTTTCCTTGCCCCCACATCTGGCTTTGATTGGCCCTGGCCTCCTTCTGATGGGTGCGGAGGCCTGACGTCATGGAGAGGGGAGAGGCCGCTCAAGGCCGGCGGGGGAGGGGGCCCCGGGCCCTCCCTGCCTGCGCCTGGCTCTGCCCTCTCCAGGGGGGCCTGCCCTCCCCCATGGCTAGATTCTCGCCCTCCCTGCGCAGTGTCCCTGGTACAGGCCTCGGTGTCTCTCACACCCTCGGCACCAAGCAAGCACTACGTGTCCTTCTGTCCAGGACTCCTGTCACTCTGTCCTTGAGGGACACGTGACAGGCAAGAGCCCCAGGCCATGGCAGCTCCCCAAGGCCCCCAGGGCCTTCCTGCGTGATACTCAGATGATGCTCAGAGGAGGCCCAGCCAGGAGGGGCCCCGGCCAGGACAGGGGCCTGCAGGTCAGAGGTGGGGCCAAGCTGCCCTCACCCCTCAGCGCAGCTTGCGGCTGAGCCCCTGAGAGCGTCCCTGAGGCGATGTTCCCTACAATGTGGGGGCAGCACCAAGCTGGTGGCCTGGCCCTGGGTGGTGTGCTGGCTGGCGACAGGCCTGGGCAGTGGGCACGGGGCAGCAGGGACAGCCCCTGCCTGCAGGCTTGCACCCACTGCCTGTGGGGAGGGGATCCTCGAAGTCCCCCAAAGGGAGCTTGGGACACCGCAGAGGGGGGCTGAGCCTCGGTGCCCCTGGGAGGGCGCTCCTGGGGCCCCTGCCCCCTCCCCCGGCTGCTGCAGGCCTTCACTCCCTGCCGTGGGGGAGGAGGTGCCTCCCAGAAGCCTTTGCAGCGGGCCTAGGGCAGGGGTGACGCGCCCCCTTAAACAGAACAAGGTGCCGGCCTTTCATACCTTCCCTTTACGAAGTGTTGGGGATTCCGGCGGCCCGAACAGCTGGATGTCCCTCCCAGGCTCTCCCTGGGACCTCACCGGCCGCCAGGGCCCTAAATAATTCTTATAAAAACCATGTCAGCCCCAAACTGTGTGATATCTGATTTGTAGCACTAATAAAACCCCTCGTCTGCTGCCAGAGGGGGGGCTGTGTGAGCCCGAAGCTGCAGACACCTTGTTTCCAGCCAGTGCGTGTGCACACGTGTGTGTGAGCGTGCGTTCACGCCTGTGGGAGTGAGTGAGGGGAGCCCTGGGGAGGGCCCCAAGCTCCTGGGGCTCCGGCCTCGCTCCCGGGCTCCACGGAGTCCCAGGGTGTGCAGGGCGGGGGTGCCTGCCTTGTTGGCCGCAGCTGCGGCTGGTGTGGCCAGACGTCCTGGGCAGACAGAGAGGCCGGCCCTTCCCACTGGACGGCCCCAGGACTGGGCATGGAGGCTGGGGGGCCAGCTTGGAGGAGGCACACGTGCTTGGAGGAGCACGCAGCTCCCAGCCCTGCTCAGAGAGCATCCCGTCCCCCAGGCCGAGCCGGCAGCTTCAGGTGCACCCCCTGGGCCTCAGGGTTGGGGCCGCAGCCGGCCCTGAGTGACGAAATGACTGGGCTCCTCTGTCCCAGCTGCTCTTGCCCCCCGCATCAGGCCTGGAAGGTCCCAGGTGACCCTGGAAGGAAGTCCTCTTGTCCTGAGCGGAAGGAGAACTCAGAAGCACCCAGCTCAGCGCCAGCACCGCGGGAGTCCGGGTGATGAGGCCC